AGAGTGGCTGAAAGCATAAGAAAAACAAGACCCTGACATATGAAAAGGAAGGGGATAGAAAAAGATATTGCTTTGATGAACTTAGAAGGTATTTAATTCAGAGAAAGATAAACACTATATGATTTCACTTATATGCAGAATCTAAGGAATAAAAAGAACAAACGAATCAAAAACAGACTCACAAACATAGTAGACAATTTGGTGTCGGACAGAGAGGAGGGGGGTTTGGGGGGTTTGGAGAATGGGGTGAAGGGATAAAGAAATATAAATTAGTAGCTGAGGGAAGGTCATGGGGATGGGGAACACAGCATAAAGAATACAGTTAGCATTAATACATTGGCTATGTGGAGGGTCGGGAGGGAAGGTGCAATTGGGGGGATCGTTTTGTGAACTATATAGATGTATAACCAATGCACTGTATACTTGAAACTTAAAAAAAAAAAAAAAAGTGCCCTAGTAGAGAGAAAGAGCCAGCCTTTAGGGCCCTGGCCCCAGACACTACATAGGCCAGAAACAGCAATATGGCTGAATGGAGGCAAAGGGAACAGAAACCAGAAGGAAGAAGAAATCCACCTGCCCGACCCCGCCTCCTTCCCCCACAGAAACACACACTACAGGCTTCCAAGCTTGGGCAGGCAGGACGAAACTGGGGCAGGAAGGATAGAGCTCTATGTTTTTATTTTAGACCAAAATGGACTTTTAAATATTTGAAAGTTAGGTTTTTTTAATAGCTATGAGTGACTGGAGAAAACAAATCAAAGCATGGATTCTTCTTGAGATATTGACCTGGAACAGAAAAGAGAGAGTCAACATAATACATTTACAGCCCTTTTATTAAAGTAGCTAGAGATGGCTTGGCTCGTTAGGAAAAGTAAAACCAAGGGAAGTTTCCCACTAGTTCAGAGAGGGCCCAGCATCCTGGATTGTATATAACTCCATCCTCATTTATACCACTTTTTACGTTGCAGGGAGGAATCTGAGACAGCATTTATAAGGATGAAGTTGGTGGCAGCTCTGTTTCTAGAACGTCTGCCAGAGCTCATTAGAAAAACAGTAACTGTTACTAGTCTTTTCCTCCTATCTCAAGGCAGATTCTCTAAATGCAGAGTTTCTAAAGTTTTTTTTTTTTTTTTTTTTACTACAACCCACATCAAGAAATACATTTTACATCATGACCCAGTATACACACTCTGTTGAAAGTTTCATGTAACAGTACATACTCTACTATTTGTATCACGCTCTGATATTTTCTATTCTATTTCATGTTTTTAAAAATGCAGGTCCACTAATGGGCCTAGAACCACAGTTTGAAAAATATGGGGTGTTTCTCCCTGTAGTCCTGGGGCAAGCAGGCAGTGGGGGTGGGGCATTGGCTTAGCAGCAATACCAGTACCGTGTGCTTATTTCCAACACCCCAAATGATGCTTCTCTGAGCAAATTCTATCGTTCATAATCACTGTACACCTATATCAGTCAGTGTTATACAGAGATACAGAACCAAGAGGATGTATACAGAGAGAACGAGAGTTATTATAATGAATTGGTTCACGTGGTTATGGAGGTTGACAAGTCCCAAGACATGCAGTTAGCAAGCTGGACACCCAGGAGAGCTGATAGTGTAGTTCTAGTCTGAAGGCCTGCACTCTCACTCAAGCCCTAGCAAGAGCCAATGTTTCAGTTTAAGTCAGAACGCAGGGAAAAGCTGATATCACAGTTTGAAGGCAGGAAGGGGGAATTCACTCTTACTTAGAGAATAGTCAGCCTTTTTGTTCTATTCATGCCTTTAATGAGTTAGATGGGGCCCACCTACACTGGGGAGGGCCATGTGCTTTAGTCTAGCAATTCAAATGTTAATCTCATCCAGAAACGCTCTCACAGACACACCCAGAAACAGTCTGACCAAATATCGAGGCACCCCAAGGCCCAGTGAACGTGATATATAAAATTAACCATCACAACACCTGTATTACCCCTACCTCCCTAAATAAGGCACTAATCTTAGTTCCTAAAGATACAATTTAATTTAGACTTCAGTAGTAGTAAAATATAAGAAAAAAACAAAAAAGAAATATAATTTCAAGAGCTCTATAAATGCCTCTGTGAAGAGTACAAGGTATATTTCAAAGAGTAGGTCCAACCTCAGAAAACTGTATTCTCTCATCATCAGCCAGGTCAGTCTGAGAAAGCACGAACAAAGTTGTAGTAGTTAATCCTATCTTCTCCATGAGAGCACAACCTGATTAACTGCAGAAAAGAGCAAAGAGAGCAGGTGAGACAGACATTGCAGGCTGCCTTCTGTGTAACTGCAGAGTGTGCTTATTAAAAATGATCCCCAGCCCTGTAAACCAGTTCAGTTTTTTATATTCTCAGTTGATTCTGAAATGATCCTCTGAACCTGGTAGGTAAGTCCGGTATTTTCCAGTTACACAATAAAACCAAAGCTCAGATGGAGTAGATGGCCTGCCCAAAATTTCAGGACTAACGTTTGTATTTATAAGGGCATTGGCATTTAAAAATTTTTTTTTTTTAACAAACAAAGCATTTTTAATTGTTTTTATATTCAAATACAAGATTTTGTCTACCCAGTCTGTTCAGAGTAAGACTCTTAAAATAGCAGGTTGCTGTTATCACAGCCTAATAGGAGAATTTAGTTATGTTGCTGCTCAAACCATATCCCCTGAAACTCAATTATGAGTGGTAGTAGACTGATCTGCTGTGGTTACTTTCATAAGACACATGCAAATCCATCCCACTCCCCTGTCCCACTTTTCACTGACTGCAGTTCCTCTTTCCCATGTCAGGTCACAGATAGTACAAATGATTTAAAAATCAAAATCTGGGCATGAAATCAATCTGGGACTTGGGAAGCTAAATGGATTTTTGGCCCACATGAACAAATACCCTTCTCTCTACCTCTCCAACTCCTTGCTAATGTTCCTGTCTACAAAATATCCTCATCTCCCACCTAGTCACTCTAGCCCTAAAAAAGACTTCCCTAAGTGAATCTTAACTGAGCATCCCTTTTTGCCAAAAGATCTTTGAGGTCTATAGCACCTCAGTGTTCTTAATCAGTGAGAACGTCTCAATGATAATAAGTCAGTAATTGGCAATTGTGGCCGAAATTTTGTTCTGACTTTTAGGGAAACCCTGGCTAAAGGGGTTTATAACGAAAAAATAAAGGGGAGGGGGCATGAAACACGCTCTTCAATTCAGTCATGAGAATTCTAGGAGAATATTGATGTCTATTCTCCATTTGCAGCTGGCCATGTGACTTCTGCTGACAGATGCCACTGTCTCTGGGTAGTGGCCACGCCCTCTTCCATGCTACTCCTACTGATGGTTTTAACGTACTTATTGGCCATGAAGGCTGTCAAAAGCTGCCCACCGACCCGCTCAATCCAGGTCTGAGTCTTCCCTTGGTGGCTGCCCCTCCAGGACCACCTCCTTCAGCCCTGACATGCTGCCCTGTGCTATCTAGCCCCATACTACTTAAAGAAGTGTCTTGCAACAGCAATTAGAAAAGAATGCCAAGGGGAAAACCATAATCAGGACCAAATAGGAGATCTAATTACAACATCTTAGATCTTCCCCAGTTAAAACAAAATATAGATGCAGTTGCTTTCAAGAGAGAATAAATGTTGCTCAGCCTTTACAATTAGCCCAGAAGAGGAACGCACACTGACCTCCTTAATCAAGGAATCATCAATTGGGACATTAAGAGAGTCACAGATTTTAAAGAACATCTCTTTGTCCACATATCCCGAAGCTTCCTTGTCACAAGTTTGAAATGCCTCAAGCATGTTTTCTTTCCACGGATGATCTTTCAGTTGCTTCTGGATTGTGTCTATTAACGCTTCCAGTTCTTGCACACCTGGATCCACGTCAATGTGCTTGCTATAGAGAAAAGAAGGAAGTGATTGAACATGGTATTTATTCTTGACTAATCTTATCTCAGTGGCCAAAGTTCTCACTTGGTGAAGTCAGGGAAGCTTCTAATGACAAACAGCTTTCGCGCTGAGCTGACCAATAGCTGAACACTTGCCTGCAGAGCTGGCTGAGGGCTGACCTCCACATCACGATGGCCTGATTAGGGGCAGTTTCTGAACTGAAGCGCAGCCTCCCTTGCTGCCATCTATTGAATCACCAGAGAGTCAATTCTAACAAAACCACCATTCCAAGTCTCATGTTTGTGGGAATCACATGACTGTTTCTTAATGTTGTTGCAGACCTACATTATTTGTTACATCATCTTGAAATAAATGTCTGACTTTAAAAAATATTTATCTATAACTCTGTAGACAGGAATCTCTTATACTTTTAACATTCCTTCTCCAATTTATTCCGAGTTCTGTGAAAGGTTATCTATGGAATTTAAGAGACTAATCTCTGTGGGGGATTGAGAAGTTTAGGCTTAGCATTTACTGAAATGAAAAGAGGTTAGTAACCCAGAATATTGGAGAGAGGGAGATCTAATCTCTTCAAATCATAGCCAAAATAAGCAGAAGTCTGATTTTTATTTCCTCTGAACATGAAGGTACAGTTATAAAATTAAAAAATTTTAGAGCTAGAAAGAACCCTGTTTCATCTTCACAAATCTGTTTTGGAATAAAATGTGGCTCAAATAAACTCAGTGAGCACTCCTCCTTTTTTCAGTGATGAGAAAACTGACATGAGAACCATGGTGACTCTTCCCAGCTCTCACATCAGAGGCAAGACCAGAAGTGACGTCTCACTTGAGTTCTAACTTGTTTTTGCAAGTATGCCCAACCCCTTTCACTGAACCTCTCTCCTTCCAGGCCTTCACAATACCGAATCACCATTGCTTTTTTTGTTCCTATTCTTTCTTGTATATAATATTCGAAAAGTTTGCTGTTCACAATGGCCTTTTAACTTATTTCCCTTTTTACCTGGTGGCAACCCTTGTTGGAAGAAGTATAAAGTGATATAACCCTTCAGGAACAATTTAGAAACATAAAGCAACAACCCAGAAAAAGATTTTCAAATAATTTATCCTAAGGAAATAATCATGAGTTGTACAGAAAGATAGATCTATAAAGCTTTTTTGGGATAGCCTATATGTAAAAAAAAAAAAAGTCCTAAAATCAGGAATTGGTTAAATAATATACATTACAATAAGCCAGTGTAATAATAATCCAGCACTGACAATGTTGCAGAAAGTGTAAAAAGATAAGTTGTTAGTGAGAAAATCAAGGTGCAAAAGTGTGTACAGCATGTTACTTTTTGTGTAAAAAGTTGTGAGGGAATAAGAATATATATTTAAATTTGCTCGTATTGTACAGAGAAACTCTGGGAATGCATATGGAGAACAGAGGGTAAGAAGTAGGTGGGAAGAAGATAGGGTGGGAGCAAAACTTTTCTTTGGTCCCTTCACATATATAAACCCATATAAATGTAATACCTATTCAAAAAATTAAACTATCAATATACTATTAAATATATTTAATATAATATTTTATGATATCGGAAATGTTCATGATATACTATCAAATGAAAAAAAGCTGATAAATCATATTACATTTTATATGCATATTAAAATAATATAAGAAGTAGTCACCTCTGGGTTACAGAATTTTAAGAAATAATTTTGCTTATTTCTATTTGTATTTCCTAAATTTTTATTCTTTGAGTGTTTTTATTCAGGGCATGTGTTACTTTTGCAGTAAGACAAAAATAATAAAATTGTAATCAAAATCTTCAATATCTAAATGCTGTCTAGCATTATTTATTATAGAAGCAGATTATGTTTATCTGATAGGTATGATTCCAATCTTATATACTAAATTATGAATGACTGCCAGGGAGCTATTTTAATGGCAGAAAGCAGTAAAACCTCAATCTTCCATATCATCCCAGGAGTTTGACCCACAGGGCGTATAAATTTAAAATGTGATCATCTAATCATCTTGTGAAGAGAAGATAACTCCTCATTCCCTGAAGAAACTAGATATTGTACTGCTTCGTACAACAGGGGAAATGCCCATGGCATCTGCTGCCTTTGAGTAAAATAGAGTAAATTCAGAGAGCTTGCAACAGGTGGTACTGTTTAAGACAGTTACAGCACCTACTTTATTTCAGGGGCCCAAGCCAGGGCCTGTTCTTTAGGACAGCTGCAAGACCCAAGGTAAGGTCTGTTCCATGGGTTAACAAGGGATCATACGGGAGAGCTGATTATCCTTAATGGGGACTGCCAACTGAGGGAGGTGGCTAGGCTCCCAACATGCTAGGTGTGTACTCTGTGACAAGCCCTCCAATGCCCTACCTTTACTTTCCATAAGGGCAAATGTGATTTGATAGGGTGATTAATCTCCCATAGGTAAGAGAGATGTCATGGTTTTGTCTGTTCTTAGAATATTTTGCTACAAGCACCCTAACAAAGCCCTCCACTTATTAAGACTAAATGGAATTCATGTATTTTCTTAAGAAGCAAATAGTCTGTGATCTTGTTCTTGCTAATGTTTTTTTGTTTGTTTGTTTTGTTGTTTTTTTTGGGGGGGGATGGGGAGCACTCTGATACCAACAATATGTTAGAGCTTTAAAGTGTGGCCATTTCAATTGCAAAGGTTCAGCGCTGACCTTAGTTCTTGATACATGATCCAGGGAATAAGAACCTTGTATATTCCCACTGTTGGTGGGAATGTAAATTGGTACAGTCATTATGGAAAACAGTGTGGCAGTTCTTCAAAAAGTTAAAAATAAAACTAAAGACTATATGATCCAGCAATCACACTTCTGGATGCATACGGAAGGAAACAAAATTAGTACCTCAAAGAGACATCTGCACTCTCATACTCAAGAGCCAAGATTTGGAAACAATGTAAGTATTCACTGACAGATTTAAAAAATGATTCTATTATACATCTGTATGTATATATATAAATAAATATGGACTATATATAATGGATATGAAATATACATGTAATGGAATATGTAGAATATAATGGAATATTATTCAGACATAAAAAGAAAGAAATCCTGCCATTTGTAATGCCATGAATAAACCTGAAGGACGTATGCTTAGTGAAATAGCCCAGATAGAGAAAGTTAAATATTGTATGGTCTCATTTATATGTAGAATCTTTAAAAACTCAAGCTCATAGAAACAGAGAGTAGAAACAGTTGTTGCTGGGGGCTAGGGGTTGAGGCAGGGGGAAGGGAGATGTTGATCAAAGGGTACAAACTCAGTTATGAGATGAGTATGTTCTGGGGATCTAATGTATAGTATGAAGCCTATACTATACATATTGTTAATCATACTGTACACTTGAGATTTACTAAGAGAGTGGATCTTAAGCATTCCCACCACACACAAAAGATAAATGGTAACTATGTGACATGATAAATGTGTTAATTAACTTGATTGTCAAAATCATTTCATAATGTATATTTATATCAAATCATCATATCATACACTTTAAATATGTACAATTTTGTCAATTATACCTCAATAAAAGTGATGAATTTGGAGTCAAGTCCCATGATGAATGGTTTGATAACAGTGTGTAAAATGGATTAAGGAAGACAGTGGAGGCGGAAAGATGAGTTAGGAGACACTGAGGAAGCCTAGGTAAGCAGTAGTGGGAGTATAGACACTGGCGTGTCATCCTCTTCTCCCTCCTAATAGAGCCCTTATTTTGTGTGGAGTAGCAGTTAGGAATGGCCATGCGATACAGTCCAGACAACGAGATGTAAGCAGAAGTTGCTAGGTGGGGCTTCTGGATAAGCTCTTTAAAAACAGGAAAGACGTGATGAGATTGGCTTTTCAGTCTTTGACCCTTTGTCCTTCCCCTTCTTCCTGACTAGAATACAGATGCAATGCTGGAGATGAAACATTCACTTTGTGGCCACAGAGTAAAACACATGCGGACAAAAGCTACTTGCTAAAGATGTCTAAGATAGAAAAAGTCAGGTCTCTGTTGGCATTCTAAAGGTGCCACACCAGATCCAGACTGCTGACCTCCGGACATTGTGTTCCATAAGAAATATAAAACTCCACTGGGTTAAGCTAATATAAGTTTGTTTCTGTTATTATTGTTGTTTTTCTTATGTACAGAGAAATGCAACTCCTAACTGATTGAGTACTTTAAATTAGGAAATAGTGGTAAGAATAAAATGGAGACATCAGACACAAGAGACATTGTAGAATAAAATAAAAAGAAATTAGCAGCTCCTTGAATATGGTCAAAAGTATCTCTAAGGTCTCAAATCAAGACAAATGGAACTCTGCTGTGATTAAGAGAAAGAGGAAGAGGGGCATTAACATTTATTGCTTCCCTCCGGTGTGCTAGACACTATCCTGGTACTTTACATATATTATTACAACTTATTGTTATCACAACTCACTGTTATCACAACTTTATGAGACAGATAAACAAAAAGAAGGAGGAGGAAGAGAATGTATGCTAGAAAGATGAATACAACGATGGTTTCAGTTTTTAGTTGCACAAAGTATGAGGTGCTGATGACTCAGCTAGATAGAGACACACCCTATAGGCAGATAGGAATCTAAGAAAAGAATCAGGAGAATGGTCAAGACGGAGAGCAACTTATTTAGACAATGCAATGAGATGAGATGAGATTTCAAGAGAGCTTAGAGAAAACAAACTAGAAGCCCAAACATAGGACCTCAAGAAACACCAATCTAGTAGATACAAGTAGGGAAAAGATACAACAAATAGGCTTTTAGAGAATAGGAGGAATAACAGAGGCTCTGACTTATTAGAACTCAAGAGAGAGGGTTTCACAAAAGAAAAAATAAACAAATGAGACTACATCAAACTAAAAAGTTTTACATAACAAAGAAAATCATCAACAAAAAGAAATGACAACCTACTAAAGGAAGAAGAAATTTGCCAATGATACATCTGATAAGGGGT